TTATTCACAGGTGAAGGATACAAAACTTAGTTCTTTGCCAGCTGTTACAATCCAGTAAAGACACATCATGTTCAACTACAGTCTTTTCTTTTGAACAGAGATTTGCTGGCTGTAGGACAAGCTGTGGAAAAGCACCAAGAGGCAATGGATGAGGCTGCTTGGCTCTCAGTATCAAAGGAGAGTTGGCAGGACCAGGAGGCAGCACCTAAAACTGGTGAAGAAGTAGTAGTGAGCACAGCAGAAAAAAATCACCATTAGAAAGTAACGAGGAGACAAAGACAAAAGGAAAGAGCAGGATGATGGACCAGTAACCACTGCAGACCCCCTGAGGACATGTAGCCATCATCTTAGCCCTGGCAGAGGCAGGCAGAGCAGCTAATGCCTCCTTCTCCTTACCGCTCAGCCCTGCTAGCCTGCAGCCACCTAAGCTAGCAATCCTCTCCACCACCTGTCAACTGCCAGGATGCTAACTTTCTGTTGAAATCTACCGTAGATTTAGTCATCGACTGTTTTTAGGTCAAAAGAGTCAGGATTTCTTTTCCAGGCTTGCAAATGCTGATCAGTATTGAGGCTGGCTGAATTTCAAATTTCTATATGTTGACTTAATGTCAATACAAAAAAGTAAGGATTTCATAGATTCCCAGAATAGTTTACCTCGGAAGGGACCTCTGGAGGCCAGCTGGCCCAAACTCTGCCCAAAGCTGAGCCAGCTTCACAGTTGGATCATGTTGCTCAGTCACCATCCAACTGTTTTTAAGTCTCCCCAAGGATCAAGGCTCCACAACCTCTCTGGGCAACTCGTTCTAGTGCTTAAGCGCTCTCACAGTGAAAAGTCCATGGCAGCTTTCTCATGTTGCCCATCAGCTAACTAGAATGAGACTTTTTTGACAAAACTAAATTCTGACAGCGTATGACACTGTACTGTAAAGATTTAAAATTACTTTATTTCAAAAAGATAGAAAAATGTCTCACTTTTTTTAAAACCATGATATCTTCCAGTTATAATAACTTATTTTTTTAACTCATTATTTATGCAGCACAACATCTGCAAGGTCATGGCATCAATTTTTGAAATCACAATACAGCGTCATAGAAAAGGCCAATGCAAAAGATAACATCAAAAAGCAGAGGAAGAGTAAAGAAGGCAACGTAAGGTTTTCAGAGGCACCTAGGGCACTGCAAGTTCAAAGAGATCTCAGTACCATCATTCATTAGGCATAGTATTACTGCTGACCCCATTACAGTCCATTATTTATGAGCAGATAAAAACCCATCTGTTCCTCAGAGTTTCAAAGTGAAGGCAGCACCTACTTAGAGAAATGTAAAAAGAACACTATTTTGTTTCTGTCACCCATAATAAACGTAGCAAAGGGAAATAACAAGCGCAAGCTTATTACTCACAATTGCTGACAATGGCACGTTTAACTTGTCAACCAGTGATACTAGGAAGGCACCTGAACAATGCTGTTATTAATGGTCACTGCAAAGCCAACAGGAAATCGACCACTGCAGAGCACAGGAGCAGGAGCTGGCATTCAGCGCCATACACTAACCCTCTCTATACTGGATGCTTTGAAATTGGGCCAACGTGAGCACAGAGCAGCAGAAAAAACGGGTGCCTTCCAGCACCTCCCAGTCATCAGGTGATGTATGTTGCAGCCACCCCAGCCCCTATGCCAAATGCCAAACATGGCCCTTAGTCTGTGACAAGGACCAAATAAAATGGAGGAAAGGTGAAATGCACCGTCTCCTTCCTTCAGCATGAGCAGCTCTCACTTGAAGGTGTTTCATGATCGCGCTCCTCCCACCTCCCAGGGATTTCTAAGTACTAAAATGGCAGAAGTACCAAACGGACATGGAATGGCAAAGAACTCAGGTTTTAAAAACTGAGCATGTCTGAAAGGCACATTTTAAATGCCTTACCACAGTCTTTTCCCAAGTTCTGCACACTAGTTAACCTAACAAGATGTACGTACTTACCCTACAGAAGGAAGGACTTTAGATGCCCTGGGATCACGACTTTTTGCTGCTCTGTACAATTAAATGGCCTTTGCTCTCAGCAGGCTGCAACTTTTTAAGGGACAATGCACAGAAACTACAAAATATGTTTGTAAGAGGTTCTGCTAATGCCCTTCAATCATGGTGTGCTCCCTTCCAACTACCCTGTAAATTCCCAGTCTGCTTCTGAGTGGGGAAGATATGCTCCACCCGAAGTAAACACAGTTTCCAAGCTTGAGATGGTAAATGCACAAACCCCTACGCTACGACCACGATCATAATTCATTTTTCCCCTTTTCAAAAACAGCATGTCACAAAGGGATCTGAAAAATTGTCTCTGCTCTCTTCAGGTGTCACAATATTTCTGACCTGCTGATAAAATGGATACAGCGAGGAAAGACTCTCTCTCTGGCACTATGTCTGATTTGTGTGACTCCTTCACACATTACTCCTCTGCTGGCAAACAACGCTCTGTGTGATGGGAGTCCAAAAGAAAAACTGCTCTTGTGAAGCCAAAAGCTTACAGGAGGAACAGAATTGCCACTGTCAAAACCATCTCTTGCCCAGTCTATTGCGTGTCGTACAGGGCAGGCTGCGCTCCCGGGAGCCACCGGTTCTCCTGGGGTTCACGGACTTCCCCTGCCACAAAGGGTTTCACTCTCTCTGCCTGCCTTAATGATTACTGTAAATTCTTGCAAAATCAGCTTCGCAGCTTACCAAACTGAGCTTACACTGTGACACTCGCTCAAACAGGGTCTTTCATTTTGCTTGCAGCTGAGGGTACCAGTAACATGATAAAAACAGCGATGCAAGAAACCTTTGAGTACCTGGTCCTGAAACAGCCCAACACCCAAACCAAGAACTTCACGTCACATCGCACCTGGCAGTTTCTGATGTAACAAAAGATCTTGATACGCTAAAAAAGGAAAGCATCAGAATATTTAAGCAGTATTCCTCACTGAAAAAAAACAGATTTTCCAGAGTGAAGCCTGTACTCTGACACCTGATGAAGCCACCCTACAGGTCTGCCTGAGTGCAGAGCACCTTCTGCAGCTTCAGAGCCAGCACACAGTCACTGGTGGCATTAAATCCATACACATGGGTATTTCACACTGCTTTCAACAGATAAACTTCCCAAAATTATTTGGGACAGAACTTTACACAGTGCAGTCAGTCGCCTTCAAGCCAAGCATGAATTCTGTTGCTATTTAGGTGCCTAAAACAAAAATTATGAACCCAATTTCCTATTCATTCCCAGATTCTTCCATTTCTAGTAAACAAAGCTGACCCTGCCTTGATTCTTGGCTGGAATGAAATCTTCGCTCCGGAGATGAAGCTGTGTATTTTAGATGTTGTCATCCACACACAGTTATTTAGTAAAATGCTTGAGAAACAATGTATTTGAATTGCTCACAAAGAAAAATCCACTCTAAGAGACTGCAAATCCTTTGCAATTGCTTTGAACAAAAATTTTCAAACAATTCAAATTAATTTAAAATTAGGCACTTTCATGTTTTCAAGTCTTTATACAAGCATGTGAATTGCGTTAAGCTTGTTTAATGAATGTTTTTCACTAAAAGACCATAATTTAATTCAATGAATAAGAAATTATTAAAGTGCAATTAATAAATCAAATACTTCCACTGGTATTTTTAAAAACATTCTAAGATGAAATCTGATGCAAATTTTGTTGACAGTAAGACAATTTCATTTTTTGGCCTTTCTGTATAAGCAAGTGTTTTCTTGTTCTCCTGAGTTACACACAATCTCTACACGTTACTGAATATACTACTTTAATCTTCAGCCTCCTTTTTCCATGCCTATAGACAAAGCATGCAGCAATCCAAATATGATAGGAGTAATTGTGTTGATTCACAGGTGACACTAACATGACTACAATAATGAAAACAAAAAAGCTAATAAAAAGGTATTTATTTTATCAACCAGTCCTTCTAAAAGGTTCCCAAAGAAATTCCTCCAGATCGGCCTGAAACTGCCTGTCTGCAATGGATGCAACAAATCCATCTGACAAGGCTTTAATGGCCTGCAAAACAGAGTGATGTCATTTGACAGACACACCTATGCACCGTCCTTTCATTAGTTAATACAAGGCACTGTCCACTTTAGAAGCATCTTTTTAACCAGGAAGTATGTTCACCTCTATTATTGTCATAAGCACAGATGATTTAAAATGAATGAAATTTCCTTCTACTTTCCTTTATGTTAGTTTGCTTTTTACTTTTTTCTGTCTATACAGCAAAAGTCAATTGTATCAGTTTCATTTTTACACATATTTAATTGCTGTTTCTGTCAGGCATAAGCTCTGCACAGGAAAAAGCATTTTGTCTAGCATCTTCACTTTCAGCGCCTTTAAGCCCCAGTTCTGCTTCGCCACGGTTTTACTGAATCTGCAGACAAATATTGGGGGGTTTTGTGTTCATTTTACAAGGGTTAAATGCAATACAGTAAGGTGTAATAGAGTGGAAGGACTGTGTCAGTGTTTTGTAGTTCACACCTGTCCATGCAGATGTACCACCACATCAAGTCACGTAAGGCGGGCAGCTCTCTGCTGCTGGGGTCAGTGACATTACCTACGTACTTGGCTTCTATAGAATGCTGAAAACTCTCAAACTTTGGAAGACGATACAGAGACAGCCAACACGCAGTTGCCAGGACTGTAGCAGGAACACATATTCTGGGAGAAGGGAGAAAAGCTCCTCATAAATCTCCACCTGCAAGTACACCTTATTGAATTCAATTACAGTGCCAGTCTATACCAAACTAATTTTGATTTTCAAGTAAAAGCAACCAAGTAAAATATGAAAGACTGATCCTGGGTTCTCTCCTTTTGATAACCACACCAACAATGCAACACGATCCTTGGGAGAGGGGACTCTCCACAACCCTTTCGCTGTGGGCAGGAGAAGAGGTGCAACAGCAGGCAAGTGTAAGCAACGTCAGCCCTTGCCCCAAGCAGCAAGCATCACTCTCCCAGACTTTACCTGACGGTGTGCTAGCTGCTGTCATGGCTGTACTTGTCGAGTGCGTAGGGCTGCTGCTTTCCAACAAGAGACAAGAGCTGCCACCACTGTTCTTCTTAACGAACGTCTCAGGGGCACTCGGCAGGGGCACCGGGTGGCTGATGCCCAGTTCCTCCTCCTGAGCTTGCTGCCTTCTCAGTGCAACCTGGGAACAAGAAGACAGACATCAAGCATGCTGTCTGGCTTGAGCACAATTTATAATGGCAACAACAAAAGACTCAAACTCAAAGCTGTTTTTCCCTTTGTACTCTCTACAGTCACTATCCAGACAGCGGGTAGAGGAGGGTATAAAGGATATTATAAAGCTATTTAAAACGGACCCCTTTTTGTGTCCAAACATACAGAAACAAACATCTGAAACGCTGGTGCCATATAAATCTTCCTCTAACAAGGCTCCATGAAGATGTATTAAAGGCACTCACCCAACACAGTTGCTCTTGGGCAAAGCACACTGTGAAAAGTGTAGTCACTACCCCCCTCTCTGCTGATACACAGCTGCTGGGGATAAAAAATTAATCTGCTTGCAGGGCTCTGCTGTCCATCTTCATCAATATAAAGCAGCTCTTCATGAGAGCTCATACCTGCAACCTGCTGTTCTGTCCAAGCCTGCTGGGCACCCTCGCTGGCACTTTGCTGGAAATCTAACCCTTCAAGGGAATTTCAGCACATAGTACACTGCACACAGAGAGCCATCATGGAAGAAGCATGGAAAATGTGGGGAACCACCCTGCAAGCATCTCAGGCAGCATCACACACACTACAGGTAGCTGGCCAGGCCTGGAGCAGCAGAGCTCCCCACTTCTTTCCTGGCACTGACAATGTTCCAAAGCCTAGCCGGCACTGGCCAAGCCCACAGGCACTACACAGTCTGGACAGACATGCAAACAAACCGTGCTTACTAAAGATGCAGAGGACTCCTTCTGTCTCAACTGAGCAGGCAGATCAATTCTGCACAGCTGTCCGCCCATGCCAAGTTGTGATACGTGTCCAGGCAGTACATATGACACTGGGGGCCTTAGAGCTACCCACCCTGCAACTTGCCAGGTGACTGATTTGCATCTGTATTTGAACCTTGGAAATCTGTCCCAGGTTAGAGACTGGGATCGTGGGCTTTTCTTGCTGGAAATTTCTCCTGGGTAACTTGGTCAGGACTTCCCTTCATTTTCATGTTCAACAACAACATTTTTCTAATGCGTAACACAATTAATAACGGCTCTTGCAATAGAGACATCCCAAACAGGAGGTGTAGACTTGCAACCACCACGGGTAACTTTGACTTCATAAGCCAATAACCTTGACCTGCAAAATTCCACCAGCGCCAAGGGGCTTATTGCAGAAATATATCAAAAGGGGGAAAGACAGACTTTCAGTGTGTAACTCCTACACAGATAAGGTTTAGCTAGGGAGGCTTTCAAAGTCACTTTCAAATACTAGGCAGGGAAGAGAAAACCCCCAGGACAGCCACTGCTCTAGCCCCAACAGAAGCCGCTGGGCAGCAGCAGAACAGTCTGTGCAGAAGGGAACACCCCATTTCATGCTCCCACTCCCGAGGCAGGCAGCAAAGGGATCCACATTTAGTATCCTGCCCTTCACACCGGGCAGAGAAAGCATATATAACTTGGGCATAATAACAATTTCTGGACTGCCATGCCACTGACAAGGAGGAATTATTTAAATGAACGAAAGCTCCCAGTGGTTCAGAGGATGTTTAGCATACCTGCACTGAATAATTAGGTAAAAAAGTGGGGAAGGATTTAATCCAGGGCAGCTAAAGCTTTTAAAATCTGTCAGTGGGACACTCATTTCACACGGGATCACGAAGCTCTCGGCGCACATTAGCTGCAAACTGGGTCGGTGGGTCTGATACCACCGCCTTTTACTTGCACCAGTAGTCCTAACGCCTCCCAATTAATTTGCCTGCAGGCGACTATTTGCACGAACGAGAACGTGCAACCTCACTCCCGGAGCTCAACACGCCGGTAGCCGTCGCGCTCCCAGGACTCCTCTTAATGAAGTTTTCAGGGTAAGGATCACAAGGACTCGTACAGCGGCCGTTTACATTGCCAAAGAGTTGTGACTTCAGCGGAACTACCTAACGACAAAAGCTTTTACTACATAGAACTGGCTGCAGTTCGGTTTTTGGGCGAATGCTACCGAGCCCTCGTTTACATCTGAGACGACCCCAGCTACACAGCTATTTGCAGAGCCGCTCTACGCAAAATCAGGAACAACGCCGTTAAAAAAAAAAAAAAGAAAAAAAAAGCCTGTTTAGAAATGCACTCAGATAAAGCCACCTAGCACCAGAAAAGCAGATACACCGAATCTGAAACCACCAGTGGCAAATATTCTCGCTAACCCCGTAAAAAAAAAAAAAAAGAAAAAAAAAGCCTGTTTAGAAATGCACTCAGATAAAGCCACCTAGCACCAGAAAAGCAGATACACCGAATCTGAAACCACCAGTGGCAAATATTCTCGCTAACCAATTAGTTGCCTAGCTTGTTCATTACCTAGTTTAAAACACGTCGAAAAACGGTAAATTGACGTTAACGAGAGGTCTTCCTCCCTGAAGGATTTAGCACAGA